TTCTGCTTCTTGCTTGCTGTCTATATTCCGGGAAAAAATCAATTGAGTTTGGATTTTGAAAATTTTGAAAGGCTTAAAGTTATGTTCTCAGTGACATTAGTAAGTGATTCAATATATATTTATGTTCAAGTGTATATCAGTCATATGTCTCCTAAATACTCACTCTGCCTATGGAAGTCATACTACTCTTAAAAAGGAGTCATTAATGAAGTAATGCTCAAGCGAAGCTTATTCTATTTAGTGCAGTTTGTAGAATAATATTCACAATTAACTTAAACATGGTATGTTGGTTAAAATAACAAATAGGGGGTAAATTTTAAAAGTTTACGTAGCACTAATGACGAGATTGTAACAAATGTGCATCACCAAAGTCATTCCGGATTATCCGGTATGGCAAATCAGTTAATCACAGCTAAAGTAAAATTGTTGTTCCATGGAAACATTTAAGCGTTGCATGAATTTGACACCCATCAAATTCAATTTTTTTGTTAGTTGCAAGTTAAGTGATGCCTCTATTTGTTAGATGATGCCAATAGCCCAATACAAATGATGTTTTTGAAAGTCCGTAGTTATGTTGAATGTGAAATCAATCCCAGCAGAACTAGGATCTAGATAATACTAATGTATACGGCCATACACTATAAATTAAAGTTGTCTTGGAAATTACAATTTTTATGTGCCGTTTATTGTGCATTTTCGAATGGGGTGGATTTTCAGGATGGATCTTAGTGGATTCAGAATTTCATTTATCAAAGGATGAATTTGATATATGTGCTTGTTTCAAACAGGAATATGGTGAATGAGACGATTGATTTGCAGTGAAGAACATTGTGAGGAAGGCTTAGGAAAGGTTTCCAGTTTCCACCTGGGGGCCACAGTGGTAATATGAACATTTTAGAGGATAAGAATCCCGTCTTCCCAATCTGTGCAAGATAGCTCTTTGAGACTGGTGAGATGGCTTTTTAGGCTATATAATTATTAGCTAGGTGCCTAGGCATCTACTCCATATATTTTTCTTCATTTGTACATGTATATCTAATTAATTAATCTACCTAAGTATCCCTGCATATCATGGTGCATCCTGACTTATTTTGTGACGAATGTAAAACGAGTCTTGGGATGGAACACCAATGGTTCTGTTTGTGGAACTAATATTGTGGCTCCATATCATTCTTAGAGTTAGTGCCAAATCGTTATCCTCTTGGGTTTTAGTATGAGTTATTAGTAAATAATGAAGCATAGATTAGTTCATCCCTAATGATTTGCACTCTGCTGATCAATTTTTTAGAATGAATCTTTAGCTTGCAAGTGAAGCACACATCAATTTTTTGGAGGTTAAGTTCTCGTTTAACATAAAATGAGCTAGATTACCTTCATCCAAACAACATTTATTACTTAAACCTAGGTTCACCTTGTATATTTCCAAACACAATTTTACGTATGGACCTAGGTTCACTTAGGTTAACCTAGTTTTTATTAAAACTTAGATTTACTTTATTGCACCAGGTTTACTTAACTTCACCTTATCCAAACGGAGCATAAGTGTTATACATAATGAGACGATATGCCAGCTCAAAAGATCATGAAATTTAATGCTTAGTAAAATCATACTGAGAAATAGAATTCATATTATCTGTCTTTGACATTGTGATTAAGACATTTTTATTGAAGTAATGAAGATATGCAGTTGAACACTCAAGCAGATGGCAAACATATCTGAAAATGGCTCTTGATACAGATTTAAGATAGCAGGTATGTGAGCTGCTGTGATTGTTAATATTGATTCCCTTTATTTATATAAGGAAGTTGGTCTTCTTTCAATAATTGTCTTTGAATTTGAAAAACTTTGAATTTATTTTTATGCTATTGTGCTACTAGAAGTCCAAAACTTGTGATGGTTTTCAAAGCATTCTTCTCAAAACTCTAAATAAAAAAGTATGAGATGTTTGAATAGCATATCACTTATTCTCATTGAGAAATCAACCCACCACTTTGTTCAATTTAATATGATTGAATATGATTAAATGCTTTTGGGATTTTTGAGAATATAAGAATAATTTGGTCCATGACCACCTGCTCTTACTAATTCTAACATTTGTTAAGTTTCATTTTTTTGAAAAAGGTTGCATCTTTAGGATTTTATTCTGTCTTTCTGTTGGCATATCGTAGGATCTACTGTGATCAAGAGGCTGCTGCTCATGTGCATCTTAAGAATTTACTAGGTATTTACTACAAGGAAATACATGTATATGAATAAAAAATGTTTTAGTTTAGGGTAAAAACATGCTTAAACTTTTATTCCCACACTTGTAGTCATTGACTCATTGGTTGCCATTTTGTTGTTTTAGTTCCTAGGGACCAGAGCAGTGTCATTCTTTCATGCTCTCAGAGCCTCAGACACTCCACTAACCCCAACTGTGACCTTTTAAAGCATTTTATTTCTCTGTGTATTGAATGTGGAGTGAGGATAAAAAGTGAAATATGTCTACTAAATTAAAAAGTGATGCAGTGAGGTTACTCTCCCCTGTTGAATGTATAATATTGTAATTGTTTTAAACACCAACAATATACTATGCTAGTCCCAAGGGACCAGAGCAGTGTCATTCTTTCATGCGCTCAGAGCCTCAGACACTCCACCAACCCCAACTGTGACCTTTTAAAGCATTTTATTTCTCTTTGTATTTTGAATGTGGAGTGAGGATAAAAAGGGGTTTTTTATAAAGTGAAATATGTCTACTAAATTAAAAAGTGATGCAGTGAGGTTACTCTCACCTGTTGAATGTACAATATTGTACTCCCTCGGCAACACTCATATCTTCCCACTTTCCTTTTTTAACCGTAATATTCATTTCTTCCCATTTTTTAAATCTTCCCATCATACCTCAATAATTTTAAAAATAATACACTATTACAACTACTTTTTTTGGATTTATCGTTCAATACAACACACTATTTCATTATCTTCCAATCATGACCTCAATCATTTATATCTCATTTCACTATTCTTAATCTCACCTACTTTCAAATGAGAAGATATATCTGTGACACGGAGGTAGCAATTGTTTTAAACACCAGCAATATAGTACTATGCTATGTGCTTCATCCGTATGTTGTCTACTTTTTCAGATCTATGAAGACCTGCATCCACCAGCTTGTTATGTGGAGCCTGCTCTAATATATCAATCATTACAAGATGGGACCAAGAAGACGCACACATTCTTGGTAGTGTATACACATAAGCTGATACACACACAATCACACATCATAATATGTACCACAGTTAATTTTAGAGTAGGAGGTTTTTTATTCAGTGCAAAACAGTAGGAGGTTTTTTATTCAGTGCAAAACAGTAGTAAAAGCCTAGTTGTATTAAATCTGTCAAGGATTGTGATCGTTAATATTTGGACATCCAACTGTTTGGATTCGTACGTCTATATACCATGTTCTAGTACACTTCTATCGCTTGCACTGTCATATGTTTCTTTTTGTGTTTTTGTGGTTTGGACTTCGGAATGGGCGAGGGTTTCCTTTTAGTGTTAGTAGATGGTCTAGTTATAATTCTCAAACCAAGGGATTGAACTATTGAAGTGTTACTTTTAATCCTTCAAGAGGTGATGGTTCCAATTATTTCTAAGTTTACATTCTTCCGTATATTAATTTATCATCTTATTGTAATGCCAAATATTCTTTGTTCTATGAGTGCTGAATTTTTTGTTTTCCTTTGTTTTGAAACCACCAATACTTGTTTCTTTGGATCACTGCTTTCACAGGAAAATGATAGTGGTATCTTTTGTTTGAAGTTCTTATTGGTACCAAGAGCGTTAAACTTGAGAGGCTTGTAAATGTTGTAATGCAAAAGTATCTTACATTTTCGAGAGGTACACGAAGACATCTTTTTTTAGTTGGATGATGTATGCAGGGGTGGAGACAGGGAGGGGCTGGAGGTGGCCACGGTCCGGCCCTGCAAGAAAAAAAATTCTTAAGTATATATTATATATAAATACTTTTAATCTGTAGAAAGTATGTTGATATTTTACACTTTGGCCCCTGCAATGTAAAATTGTTAAGGACCGGCCCCTTTAACCCTAAATGTCTGGCTCCGCCACTGGATGTATGTCGCATTGACGCATATAAACGAATATGCTCCAATTAAAAAATGGGGTTTTTACAACAATATCCAAACCTTAGTCCCAAAAGATATTGGGATCGGCTAACATGAATGTAATGTCATGATAACTTTATTTTCATTATAATGATTTCATTTCTAATCACAATTTTGTAAACAATTTTTATTTTAAATAAATATATAATTATTTCATTAAAAAATAATTTAACCTAATTTCCTTCCGGTTCGAAAGTAACACTTGAACTTTTTTTACTCCACTAAAAGACTTAAAGTTACATCATACTACCTCCGTCCCGGTAGACTTTGTCAAGTGCAAAGTAAGAGCATCCCCAATGGGGATGTCTACTTTCTTTACACACTTTTACACATGGTCCCATTTTTTATCTCACAAATTTTATGTGTAGGACCTACATATCTTCATATTTATTTTATTTTTCATTTTTCTATATCACTTTTAACCCACTTTTCATCCACATTCACTCATCGATTCCCGTGTAAAGTCTATTTGTGGACATTGTCATAGACATTCTCTACAATTTACTCCTATCTCTCTCTTCCTTTTCATTTCTCATACACACCACTTTCTCCATATTAAATTAAAATAATCATTCTATCTCTATCTCTCTCCTATGCCACGTAGGATAGACATTACTCACATCCACTATCTCATTGGGGATGCTCTAAGTGAGAAATAAGAATAGTAAAAACTGTGTGGTTGAGATTTGTGCAAAGGAGAGAGAAAAATTGCAGAATCACAAATTAGTTGTTCTATGAAAACTTACCTGCATGTTTTTGCAACTGATGTTTGCTTTCTATGCAATTGTGACAAGCTACATAGATTTTCATTTACAATGAATCTTTGATATACTGAGGTCTAGTGTTCGTATTGTAAAAACTGTGATGAAGCCAAGTAAATGTGAAGTTGCTCGTTGTGTCAGTATGATTTTTTACTTGCTCATATTTGCATTTGCCTTTTACTCCTATGTCAAAAGTATATGGACATTTTTTCCCAATTTCAATACAGACACGTCCTGTACTCGACTAGTTCTTGAAGTGCTTCAGGTTCTCCACCAGTCCATCTGGCTCTACATAATAAATATTGGCAAACCCCATTTTTAAACTCACAACTTGGTTTGTTAGGCTATTGAACCCCCCAACTTTTAACCAGTTATAAACAGCACATCATAGGTAAACTAAAGCCTAATTGATATACTAGAGGGCTAAAGCCCCACAAGTATACCAAAGCCCCTCTATTTGTTTTGCATTTCAATCCAAACACAGATATTTGGATGGACTTGAAGTGGGGAAACAAGCCAAGTTTAGTGGCTTAAAAATGGGTTTAGCTGAAACATGTCTGTCCTATTTACAACGGAGGATATCACATCCAGAAGAGTGAGTGCGCTCACAGATCATGACTGTCCTTAAGCAAATCCATCAAGCACGAATCATCTGCACATGTTTGGAAGAGTAAAAAGAAGGGTAAAACTTAAGGGAAAAATTTACATGAATAATCTCACTGTTTCATGTTATCTAATATTAATCCCGAATACACGTAATTCTAACATAAATCTCAAATTTATATGTGGTCTTCCGCCATTGATCCAGGTTACCTACAACTTTCGTAAAAAACTAAAAAAAAAAAACAAAAAAAGAAAGAGAAATGATTGATCTGCATCTGAATGGACTCATTCATCCTCATCATCAACTTTACTCTTCATCTATGGAGAAGACATGAAAGAAGTGTTCATCTTCCTCTTCACAATCATCTTTGACCACGATAGTAGTTCAATTCACGCAGAAACGAAGGTGTTGCCGGCACTTTCATATTCAAGTCATCTCTCTCGTCAAAGACGGAACGGAGGGGCATCCTGCTTCTGGTGTCGACGAATATGGTGATGAAGGAGGGCCTCTGACTCTGCTTCTAATGGAACGGTCGAATGGAGGTCCTAGGTCCTCGCCAGAATAGTAATCCTCTGGTCTCTGATGATTCATCTTACAGCTGCGGCCAGTTTCTTCTTCAGTCCTTGTCTTTAGTTGGATGACTGGAGTTGTAAAAGAAATTAAGAAGAAAAATGGATGGAAGAGGAGATCCAATTAAAGAGAAGAATGGTAAAGGAGAAAGGAAGGAAGAAAAGAAAAATATTCAAGAGAAGAGAAAGGAAAAGAAAATGGAAAAGTAAAAATGTGTGAAGTCCAATCAGAATAAAACACGTGTCAGGTGACCTGATGAACCCTTTAATTCCGGTCATGGGTTTAATTTGAGAAGATGCCCTGTATAAAGTAGATTATTTTAGAAATACTCATATTTGGGGTTGATATTGGAAGAACCAAAAAAGGTGGGATGATTCATGTGATTTTTTCCAAACTTAAAACGTGATATGTGAGATTGAGGTTTTACTTGGGTCCAACCAAAATGAAAGACAGAACGATGAACTCTTCAGAGCAGGAATTGGCAATAATGAAAAGTGATATCTATATATAACTAAGTCTTTGTTTGGAAAATGGTACTGGGAGGAAAACAAAATATTACTAAAAATAGTATTTTATGTTTGATTTTGCCTTGCAAATATGGAGAAAATAGAATTTGGTTGATTAGTACAATAAGAATTCCTTAGACTTTATATTTTCTTCCTCGGTATTTTTCGAACTAAAGTGAAACAGACAGCAAGGCCAAGGAATGAGGAACTAACCATCCTGGGAGAGTGCCTCCACTGAAGAGTCTTCATCGCTGCTTCTGCAAAGGCTTGGGCGGCTTCAGCTTCAGTTTCTGCTACTTCTGCAACCCTTGCAGCCTCTGCAGCTTCAGCTATGGCAGCTTCTGCTTCGGCTACGGCTTTAGCGGCAGCTTCTGCCACCTCTATACGAGTCATACTACTCCTCGCCTTTGACAAATGTGGGTCCGTCTCCAGTTTGGGTGACAGGTTCTGCCTTCCCTCCAATAGTAAAGCGGGATAGTTTCTTCTTTTAGAAAGTGTTAAAGTTGTTGCTATTGTATATTTCCGTTTCATCTGTTGGGGGGGGGGGGGGGGGCTGAAGTATTAAATTATGTCTCAATTGCAAAAATGAAGTGATACTTAACGAAGAAACTGTTTTTTGCAACATCAAAGAAACTCTTTGATAACTACAAACGAACAAAGTGTTAAACTAAAGTGATTTACTTATAAAATTTAAAATAAAGGGTAAAGCATGTTTAGAACCATGAGACCACAATTGCGATGCCGCCGATGCACCATATTTGTTCTTATTTTTAATGGGAATAACCCTTTTTATTTGAACCAAAACATAATAGGAAAAACAACTTTAAATAGTATTATCATCTGTCAACCAATAATATTACATACTATAAAAATGATAATTTATACCCAACTATTCAAATGTATACAAAAATCATATGGAACCACTTTCTGGCTATAAATCCGGCAACTTAACCCATTAAAAACTAACATCATATAATCAAATAAGTAGCTTATTTGATGATGTGGAGCCACTGAGCCAGTTTTTGATGCTTTGGTTGACTAGATTTGTAGTTGGAAAGTGACTCTGCATCACATTAGTCACATATTTGAGTAGTTGGAGTAGGAAATTGCTATTTACATAGTATGTATCACTTTTGGTTCATGACTGATAGTTGGTATTACTAAAAGTTATTTTCCCAACATAATACCACCTTGATAAGTTTTCCTGTTGCAGTCAAATACTTCAGTTTGGCAGACAATAGCCTTTTAAAATCTGGAGGAGCCCAGTATTGATCCTACATGACATCAGAGTTTAATTAAGTGAAGAACATTGAGTTTATGTTCAACTGAAGAGGGCATATGGTGTAACCTTTAAAGAGTCGTGGGTTTCTCATTTCTATGTTTAACTAAAATTCAAGATAACAGTTACCTCTATGTAAGAAGAGATAGATGCCTTGTTAGAACCACCAGGCTCTCTCAAGTTGCTTATGGCATCCATGATAAGATTGTCCAATCTATAAAGAAGGGAGGAAGATATACTAGATTGATCCACCACATCAATGCATCATAATTCATAAAGCGAAAAAATTAGATTCAATTAATACAATACCTATTTTGTATTTTATTGCAATGGACAAACAGACAGGTAATCAAACATTTCAAGCAGAAAATGCATTTCATCTAGAACTACTCAATGACAAAATAAGATACTCACTAATTCACGTGATTCTAAAAATTCAAACAATTAGTACAATCACTATAACACAAAGGCATAACAGTAAGGAAATATATACATATGCATATATATGTGTAAAAAAAAGGTTCTGGAATATCACATAGATTAGTAACCCTGCTAGAAAATTATACTAGAAAATCAAATAATGATAGAGATGCTGACCTTCCGTTGAAGGTACTGAGAGCTCTAACTAAAAAAATTAGGAGCCAAGCAGGAAAAATAGCATTTCAAGGATCATATTTATGCCCCTTTTTGTAGCACTGACCGGGTTATTCTGGTTGTTGATAGAATAAGTACCCATGAGTTACTTATTTGGCTTATATCAATTTTAGAAATCACATATCCTTTCAGAAAGTTCAGCTATTTCAATCCAATAACCCTTGCTAAAGGGCTCTTACTCATAAAAACAAGTGTCACATTCAGCAAAGAAAAAGAATGATGTGCTGAAACATGAGCAATTTCTGCCAATGGATTGGTAACGATCAAGATGTAGTACATGATAGATAAGCATATGACCTAATGATAGATTTTCTTGAACCACCAACCAGCGGAGAACCACTAGAAGTTGCTACTGGCTTGACCTTAATAGTATCTTCATCACTTTGAGGTGAAACCTTAGCAAGTGTACTTGGGCTTTCATCCTGTTTGGAGGTTTGATGCATCTTTTTAAGAGCTAACCTAGCCTTCTCTCTAGATCCGAACCCATTTGCCATGACACTCATGTTTCTCCACTTGTCCTATCATATTAACAAGACACAAAATTTCACAAAAAGGATTCAAAGAAGAGAATTTAACTAGGAACTTTTATGGAGATACTCTTATATGGCACATATATATTGGGGTTGAAAAGTTAGACATGTGATCATCACCCAATGAATATGTGCCACAAAGGAACTATCTTTCTAGAATGTCCAAATTTGATGTTTCCTAGCATTACCCAACTTCTAAGATGAGGAGAAAAACAGTGATGCAATGTTTCACCTTGAGATCTACATTTGAACGCAGATGCAAAACTCCACTAAATTCTGGATCCTTAAGAATTGTGCGCCATTTTCCCTGCCCATGCCTAAGGACACCAGCTTTAAGAGCAGCTTCTTCTTCAGGAGTCCACTTTTGTTTAGGCGCACCCATTAAATGATTATACTAAAACCTAGTTACATATATCATATACCGAAACACACATTGTTGAGAAAAGATAATAAGATAACATGAAAGGTATGCAGTTATGCACTGCACCCATAAATGGATTATTACAAACAAGTTCTAATGGAATCAAATAAAAAAAACCCATAAGTCTTAATCCTGAATCAAAGGGATCCTCTACCAACATGATAATCACAACACCTGCAGACTATGTGAACCATATTTGTTTAATTGTTTGTAACAATAATTTAATGTATCTACTATAGGCTAGTCGAATCCAGATCAGTGGGAACAAGAGTGCTCTAATGAAGCTCTTAAGCGGATTTACTTTACCATTGAAAACCAATTCAAGGTCCAAAAAAATGAATCACAAAATGAAATGTGTCTGTGGTCATAATTCCTAAGAGCGATCAAAGCTTTGTTGCATGTTTCTCGTCATCATTTACAAATTCCAGAGTAAAAAGTCATAGAATAACAATTACGTGCAGAGCAATCGAGCATATTTTAAAGCGCAGATGAAACATAAACAATCAAAAATGAGAACCTTCGATTCGGATCACCAAGGGGGTGGATGAATAATCAACTTAAAATAAATACACAGGAGGGGAGAAAGGAGCGAGTGAGAATCGCCAGAAACGGTGGTGGGATGCGATTTGATGGTTGGATTGTTTTAGGAGCTAGGAGTATTTCGATAAGAGCATTCGCTTCAGTGCCCTTACCATTTTGTACGTTTTTACGGTAACATCTTAGCTGAAAAGGGAAAACTACATTTGGCTGGGCAGTCAGGTAAGAACGTACCACTAATTTTACGTACTACTGCCTCCACTATTACCTTCGTCCCTATTGGTTAAAGAAATAATGACAAATCTACCAATGTGATAATAATGATAATAATATGATTAAATGACTTCGGTTCAAAAATATCATAGTAGGGGTGAGTTCTTTTCAAACGATTCGGTTTTCACCTAAAACCGAATGTCAAACCAAAGTAAAAAGTTTGGTTCGGTTTGATTCAGTATTATGTTCAAAAATTTGGAAGCATAGTTTGTTCAGTTCGGTTTATTTCGGTTTTTACCAAAATATTTTTGTTGATTAGAAAAATAGTATTTGGAAAAAAACTATGTCAAATTAGTATTAATAGTTATACAATACAAAAACATGCGTAATAAAAAAGAAAAAGAAACAAATGCACTTCCATGTAATGAAAAAGCAGTTCGTACGGTGCAATCGGCCCACCATGAGCATCATGCTCCACTCCCAAAAACGTCGTAGTTTTGCACAATTTAAAAAAAAAACCGCGTGAACAGTACATGCGTGTACAGTAACTGTTTTTTTTGTCTCAGTAGTATGAATGATGTAACTCGCGTGTAAATTTTTAAAAAATGTTGTTAGATTACTCTCAATTTAAATTTTCATATTCTATTTTTTTTTAATTTTTTAAAGAATAAGAAATGATAATATTAATGGTCAAATTTATGGATTGACAAGTGCGAAAATTGAAACATTGCAACCAAAAAAGAAAGGATGAAGTGTTTCTTAATCAAACACATTCTTTTGTCATAATATTATTATTAAAAGAGAATCTTAGAATAGAAATGTTATTACGTTGGTTTTACTATTTTCTAAACATTAAAAGTTGAATATGAACTTTTGACTAGATATTAATGTTCTAAAACAAACAAATTTGAATAACATGCATGGTTTTAAACAAAAAAAAATTCCCCCTCAAAACTTAATTACTTACTTTAAACTTTTTCATCAATAATGTTCCTTGGTGATCAACTAATATGGTTTTAATAATATGGAGATGATAAGGAAACGTTGTTTGTCAAGAATATGCATATCAAATAATACAGAGTATATATTAAGCCTTTCATATATACAAATATATTAGAGAACATTCAATAAATTGGAGAAAATCATTACACATTCCTCAAAATGAGGGCAATTGTTTGCTTAAAAATAGGAGTTCTTTTTTTAGAGGGAATATATTAACTATTATTAATGAGATCATAGACTAGTACATTCAATATAAAATTAATTGGAGGATTCAAATCACAAATATGACGCTGAGACAAAGAACATGCAGCTTGAGCTAACTCATGAGTTGCCCTATTCCAGTGTCTAATGTGAGTAAAAGAAATGTCAATAAAATTGGACCCTTTTTCATTTATATCTCCCGCTAGCAGCCTCATCGTCAAAATGCTAGAACCTTGTTGAATTTGTGAGATAGCACCAGAAGCGTCTGATTCCACATCCACTACATCTCAATCTTGCTCGAAAGTAGAAGTAAGAGCCTCTTGGATTCCAATAAATTCTGCTTGCCATGTGATACCTTCCTGGCAATAGCATAGATACCCCGCCACGAAATTCTCTTCCTCATTTATCAAAATCCAGCCAAGCCCGCAACGATAAACTCTCACAGTCGCGTTCACATTGAGCTTAAGTCTTTCGGGTTTAAGACGTTTCCACCATGAACATTCCTGTGATAATCTGCCAAGAGATTCTAGTTTATCATTTTTTGGTATTAGGACAATATTAATGTGATTAATATTCTCCGGTAATCTCCAGTCTCAAACGCCCCCTTACAGATATTAATAACACCTGGCCCCACCAAATCCCAATAATGTTGATAAAACCTCGGACTCATACCATCCAGGCACAACTTTATCATGATACATAGAAAACACATAGCTGATTTTACCTCATTACTATGAATAGGTCGCAACAATTCATGATTCTGATGCTAGGTCAACCTCCTATGAACGCAGCTAAAAATAAATTCTCCTCCCCCTCAAACAAAGGAGAAAATCTTCGTGAAATAAACTCTGATCATGCGTCCAATCTAAACGTACTCTGTCACTCTCCCTGTCTCCCATCCACCTCGTGCCAAACAAAAACCTTCAACCCTATTCTTTCTTCTTTGTTGTTTCATTGAATTATGAAAATAGCGAGTGTTTAAGTCTCCTTCCTTTAGCAAAAAAATCCTTAGCTCTTTGCTTTCATAATTGGTTTTCCTTGTCAAGAAGCTCCAAATATTCATCATCTCGTCTACGTAAATATTCTAACCGCTTTATACAAAAGCTGATTCGTTTGCAGAAAGTTCCAACTTTGCCTCGCCCCCATTCCCAAACTGCTTTCCTGCACATCTCAACCTGGCTCATAATACCGCTGCTCTGACTAGAACCCCAACTCCTAGCCACAACCTCACACAATCCTCATCCCGAAGTCATGTATTCTCAAACTTGAATTTCCTCTTCTGATTGACCCTTTGAGATGGAGTGAGCTTAATAAATAAAGCCAAGTGATCACTTGGAGCTTCCTCCATCGATTCTATCGCTACGTTCCCAAAAATATCCAACCAGTTCTCCGAAACCAAGATTTTGTACAATTTTTTCCTCCATCCAGTGAGAAGTACCCCTCCATCTTTTCCAGGTATATTGATAACCTTGAAAAGAGAAATTCTACAAACCATTGTCCCAAACTGTTTCCCTAAAACCCCTCAAAAGCCACAAAGGGTGGGGAATCCTTCCACGCTTCTCAGAGGCAAACATAATATCATTAAATATCTTACGTCAAATTTTTTTACCTATCTATTAAATGATCTTAGCTTAGATCATTTGGAGTATTTTAAATAAATTCTTTAATTAATTATTTAAATATTCTTATTATTTACTAATCAAGTTTGTAATTAATCCAGGCTGATCTTCCCCAAGAGCTCACATTGATGGGAATGTTTGGCACCTCGATGTCGGCTCTTCGCCACCTGGGGCTGTCACTTTATTTTAATGGATAAAAAGGTTTTAATTGATAGAATCTAGAGGAAGCACGATACAATTGAAATTGAGAGGTTTTGGTGGTTTTTTGAGCCTGCGTTTCAGGAACTTTAAAAATTGGTAATTGCCGGCAAAGTTGTTTTTTTTTTCTCAAAAGATTTCTTATTTTGGAAATTCCGTTTTATTTAAGATTCATATCTGTATAAATTTGAAGGGATTATTTATTTAAAACTTTAAAACGGCAGATTTAGTTAATTCAAAAAAGAATCCTTTTTTACCCTGTTAGGTAGTGATGGATAGTCTACCCGGGGGGTATCTTATCCGAGGGGTTATTGCGGGAATAACTTAGAGAGAAGTCAGAGTGAATAGGAGGAGAGAGAGCCGATTTTATTAAATGAACTCAGTGTGTGTAATCGAGATGTAGATGATGATGTCGATTACAAGGAGAAATGGGTTGCTATTTATAGCAGCAATAAATGCGATGAGAGGACACGTGTCAGTAATCCAACGGCCGAAGGGTCACATCAACCGGTTGGCACCGGCAGTGGTACGTTCACCGCATTGAATGCGGTTGGCGGATGTGACGTGGCATTAAATGCGGTGGTTGGCTGTCCCCAAAAGGAATCTTCGATGATTGAGCATGCTTGGCCGAAGGCTTCTTGTGTAGCCGAGGGCTCCGTGTAACCAAGGACCCCTGTGTAGCCGAAGGCCCCGAGTGGCAGGGGGCTAAGTTCAGCCGAAGGCTCCCCTGATGCCGAGGGCTTGGTAATGCCGAAGGCTCATGTTTTTCGCCGTTTTCTCCCAGTGGCTTCGTATGTCAGAGAGGGCTACTTCGTGAGTTTCTGGAGCCTTCGGCCAAGGAGGCCGAAGGCACCCCCAGTATGTATTTCGGGCTATTTTGGGGCTTGGGCCGTTGCTTTTGGGCCTGAGTTGTTCTCTGGGCTCATTGGATATGTGTAGCAGAAGTAGGAGTCTATGGGCCGGGGGTTCCTGGGCCATATACTCCATCAGGTAGTTATATATAAAAGGATAATATTAAAACATAAAAATTGATAATAATTTACCAAAACTTAAGTAAATAACCAAATATTAGACCAGGACTCAGGGTAAAGCTGGTAGTTTTCAAAATAAAACTAATGAAACTATTTTAGTAAAATTTAATTGTCAACTCCCGGGGGATTGGACCAAAAATTCTGGTCCTTTTTGGATTTCCTTCTTTTTGAATAGTTTGTCACGGGCAGTGTTCTAAAAGGCCTTATTAGGCGGCGCATAGGCTGGCCAATGCGCAAGGCGCACAGCAAACGCCCCGCACAGCAAACGCCCTGCACAACCTTGAGGCGTGCTAAAAGGCGTGTTAAGCCTTTAAAATCCGGAAAAAATAGACTTGACTAAGGCCTGTTGGGCCATATTTAGTCCCACGTGCACAGCGTAGCAACGTAGCATTTACTTGGCAATTAGAATCTTAGATGAATGACTTAATATATACGCAGTCAGGAGGAGGATTCGTCTCTTCCTTTCCGGTGTGGGAATACTAAACTAGTAGTAGAATTACGTTGCACCTATATGCTTATTTCTTACTCCGTATTTCTTAGATCTACTCCGTATTATATTGCTTATATTATACTCCATATAACTATAAACTTTTAATTCAATCACTTCTTTTTTATTAATAATAGTTAACATTAATGTATAATCTCTACTGAAAAGTAATGGTGTATTATTGTTATAATATTGTTTTTACTCTTGTATGTTGAAACAATATGCTTAATATTGCTATTAGTATTATCATTATCAATATCTATTTTACAATCTCTTATTTGTTGTATAGCTAATGCATATATTATGAGTCATTGATAGTTTTTCAAAATTGTATTGT